CAATGCCTCATCTGCATTTGTGAGACAAATGCAGACCCCATTTCATCTCCATCCTTCTCATGCTACTGTCTTGCATGCTCCACCCTTCTGCCTCTGCTCTTTCAATCAGGCTAATCTCACCATTTTTAAAATTTATTTACATTCATTCATACCAACTGAAATTTTCTGTCATGAGTACACTGTCTACTGGTTCCGTCAAAGCTATTACAACACACGTTATCACCAACAGATTATTTTCCATATTTGGGTCTGCTTTGCTTCCCTCTTTTCCCCTTGCTTCCCTCCCTCTCACCCTCCCCCACTTCCCGCCCCCTCCCATGCTGTCTCTGGCAGCCCCAGTTGCTCTCCAGGCCCTTACACCTTCCAGGCTTCCAGGTTCTGCCACAAAGAACAGACCTTTGGTATATACTGGGTGGAGCCCTACTCTGAAAGAGGCATTGTGTGTCTCTATTCTCACTCTTGAAATCTCTGCTCAGGCATTATCTCCAGAAAAGTCACTCTTGACACCTTCCATTTTCATTGTTTAAACCCCAGTGCATAGCTCTTTGCAGAAACTCAGTAAGTAATTATTGAGTACAATAAGGAAAGACTGTTACAAAGATTATTTAAAATATTTTCCCATACAGTCTAGGAGCAAAAGGGGGACAGGCATTGGGAACCAGCAGTTAGCGTAATGGCTATGTCGCTGGACTCCCACGTAGTCGACCGTGGTTTGTGTCCCGGACCCGGTGGCTTAAAACTCACGCCGGGCGCGTGTGCGTGCGTGCCCAAGATCCCGAGAGGAGAATGGAGGAGAGGGGATTGCGGCGTGACCATCCCCCCTGGGGGGTGATTTCTCGCTTTCTGTCTCTATGTCTCTCTCTGTCTGGCGAGCGCACGCGCCCTACAGTGAAAATCTCTCCAAAAAAAAAAAAGGAAAAAAAAAAAGGGGGGGGACAGGCATTGAAAGAAGTCACTGCAGTTCAGGTGGTAAAGGTACAGTAGAAGAACAGACCAGGTGTTAGGGTAGTCCAAAGGAAAGATGCCTGTTTGTTGGGGAAAACAGCTAATCAAAGAAGACTACACATAACAAGCTGAGTCTTAAAAGGTGGAAAGAAATATATCAGAATAGTAGAGGAAAGCAATTCAAATATAAGCAGAAGAGTTTTGCTGATAAAAGGGTAAAAGTAACAGTAATTTAGAAAGCATTAATGATGACATTGCTTAGCAGGTTGTTGAAACAGTCCTGTTATCAGTGGGAGAGTAATGTACAGTATGACTGTGTTTCTACTGATTTCCACGTTTTGTTTCTGAAATTTGTGTTCATTTGTGTCGTGCAGATGAATTCGTGAATGGATCTTTGAGAGGGTTGTATGTCTTTGAACATACAACCTGGTTTGTTGTCATTTTGAATAATTAAAAGTATTTCTTAAAGAAATAAATATTCATCCAAACATTACATTTTAGCTCTCAACTGACAAAACTTAATATTCTATCTTTATAAAGATGATGGCTTTTATCTAACTGTTGTAAGTAGTTCATTTTAACTGAATATGTGGATTTGTCAGCAGAACTAGACTTACAAATGACACCAGAGGAAGAGCAAGAAAGGCTTGATGGAAGTGCAGAAAGGGAACCTAAGGTATGGAAATTATTCCTACGTTTTTTATTTAATATTGCTGTCTTTGCTTTATTAGCAAAGCTTAGTCTAAATGAAATTACCTTTCAGCTAGCATGGTAGAATTCAGTGATCATAATTGACTAATTTTAGCTAGTTATAAAAGTTAAACTAGTCTTACAATCTATAGTAACTCATACCTGAACTTGATCCTGTGATTCAGGGAAAAAATTTCTTGAGTATTGTTTTCACTTTCATTTTTATTCCCTCTTTATGTAATAAAGATTACATAAAAAATTTAGCATTTGACCTCAAAGTAGAAATCTGAGGGATACTAAGTTTGTTTTTATTATTATTATTATTATTATTATTATTATTATTAATTTACTACAGGCTGTGTGTACTTTCAGGAGAGAGAAAGAGAGAGGAATATTGAGAAATCACCCTCTGTGGTGGTGAGGGTCGGGACAGGGATGGCCATGATGCAATCCCTTCTTCTACAATCTTCTCTTGGGATGTGGGGCACACACATGTGCCCAGTGTGATTTTCAAGTCACCTGGTCCAGGACTTGAACACCGGTTGGCCTTGTGGGAGTTTAGTGTCTTTATTACTATGCCACCTCCTGGCCTTCGAGATGGAGTTTTAAAGAGAGATAAAACTCTAGAGATAATCTCCTTTAAAAGTAAAAGATGAGACCTTCCGCTCCCCACAGAGATATGAAATTACTTTGTCAAAGTTACACTTTTAATCCATCTGATTAACTGGATAAATTTATCTAGCAATTTATCTGATTTAGTACTGTGGAATTATATCTCCTCTTTTGGTCCCATCAAATCCTAAGTAATACCACTTTAGGAACTTTGGACAGATTATTTAACCTTTCCTGGTTTTATTCCCCCTTTCAGTATATTAATATTCTCCAGTCACAAGAATTGTGTGGTTATTAAGTTAGAAAATTAGGAAAAATCAGGCAAAATTAGGAAGAGCATTTCAGAATTCCACACTGTTTACTCACCCAGCAGTTTCACTCCGCTCTTTGTGTGGTGGCAAACTTTGGTTCAGATGTTTCAGTGAGTACCTTTACTTTTTACTTTTTTGATATCCCAGGATCCAAATGGAAAAAGAATCACCAAGGTGGTAAGGGAAAGCATCGCCTGGTGCAGAGCAGAGCAGGTGTGGGTGTTCACTGTCAAAGGCAGGCTGTGAGGACAAGCGAGGCCTGGTGCTGCCTTACCATTTTATTCTCTGCTCTGCCACTCTAACAGGGTAGAAATGTTTGCTAGCGAAGAGGAAATGGGAATAAAAGCACAAAGTAAAGAAGAGCCCTTTTAAAATGTTTGGAAAATTCTATTTCTGTTACTCCAAAATGAAGCAGAATTTACAAAAATGCCAGTGACCAGTAATGATAGAATTAAAATTCACACAAAATAGCTTTTTTTCTGCCTGGAATTATGACAATTAAATTGAATAAAGTGCAAAGTTAAGCAGAAAAAAAGTTGTTTTTTTTTTTTTTTTTTTTCCTGATTAGAATCATGACAATTAAATTGAGTCAAGTGATACAATCAGTATAAGTTTCTATTGAACAAAGCACTAATTACCCTGAATTCATTAAAGGCTGATGAGAGAAGAAAGAAACAGAGCAGTAATGAAATGAGTATATCAGAAATCCTGTGTGATGGTGCTGCTGCTCCTGCTGGTGAGGATGGCCGTGGAGTATTTCAGCAGAGTGCAAAAGCTGATGCGCTCCTAATCCCTACTAAGGAGCACGAAGAGCATGATGGGTAAGTCTATAGTGAGATTTTATGGTAGACAATTGTTGTTCTATAAAGTTTACCCTAATTTGGTCTAATATTTATGGTTAACAAATTTTGTACATTTACTATGGATGTTCAGCCTGGCTTGGTCATCAGAAAAATGCAAATTAGCAAGTAATTTCCCCCAATCATATTGATAAATATTTTGTTAAAAAAAACAAACAATAAAATCTCTATAGTGAGATTTTATGGTAGACAATTGTTGTTCTATAAAGTTTACCCTAATTTGGTCTAATATTTATGGTTAACAAATTTTGTACATTTACTATGGATGTTCAGCCTGGCTTGGTCATCAGAAAAATGCAAATTAGCAAGTAATTTCCCCCAATCATATTGATAAATATTTTGTTAAAAAAAACAAACAATAAAATCCAGACCAGCAGGTGACATGGTGGGCAAGGCGCTGGACACATGTTCTGAGTTCCAGACTTGGTGGGTTAAAGACAAACCCAGGTGTGTGTGTGTGCATGTGTCCGAAATCCTGAGAGGAGGATAGAGGAGAAGAAATGGCATGGCCATTCCTTCGAGGGGTGATTTCTCTCTTTCCCCTCTCTGTCTCTCTCTGGTGAACGCACACACCTATGGCAAAAATGTAAAAAACAAAACAAAGCAAACAAAACAAACAAACAAAAAAAAACACACAACCTCTCCTGTTTCTGTCTCTTTCTCTGGCATGGTCATGCACTGTCCAGTAGTTCAATCAAACATATATATGTGTGTGTGTAGAGTCACATTATCTGATGTCTAGATTACTGTAATGGATTGCTAATTGGTCTCTTTATTTTTTCTAATCCTCTTTGTATCAGTTTCCAGCACAGTGGATCTATTAAAGCATATGTCATTCTCACTCTCACATGTGTACACGTACCCTCTGATATAATAAGAGAAAATAAATTTTAAAAGAGAAAGTTGGATTCTATTTCATTCCATTGCTCAAAACCTTCTTAATTGCCTCCCATCTCACTGAGTAGTTCCCAAAGTTCTTCCTAATATCCACAAGCCAGCTGGGTTCTCTAGCCCCTGTTTATCTGTGAGTCAAACTTCTATTTTCCTGTCCTTTTCTCTTTGCTCCACCCACACTGAACTTCTCACTCTTCTTCACCACTTCAGGCATATCTCTGTACTTGGCAGTGTTTTTTGATATCCCAGGATCCAAATTAAAAAAGAATCGCCAAAGCGGTAAGGGAAAGCATCGTCTAGTGCAGAGCAGAGCAGGTGTGTGTGTTCACTGTCAAATGCAGGCTGTAAAGATAAGAGAGGCCCTGTGCTGCCTTACCGTTTTATTCTCTGCTCTGCCACTCTAACAGGGTAGAAATGTTTGCTAGCGAAGAGGAAATGGGAGTAAAAGCACAAAGCACAATGGAATGCTTTCCCCTCATATGTCCTTTAGGCATGTACTTTCCATTTCTTCAGTGCTTTACTTAAAAGGCCTTAGTTACTCAGCAAGGCCTTTCCTGGCCATCCTGACTGACCGTTGTGCTTCTTCTCCCTACAAGTCATAAATATTTCATTTCCTGACTTTCCTCTCTCTCCTTTAACTTACTTACATTTTGCCGCTCTGTCTTGAGTATTCTTGTGTGCTTCCTTCACTCTCATAAATAGGCTGTTCATTCACTGCCATATTCTCAGTGTCTATGGAAAGACATCAATAAGAATTTGTTTAAAAAAACATTTGTTAAGTGACCAAATGTAGTTTTCATGGATACAATCTTTGAAACATTAAACAATTCCCATTGCAAAAGAAGTTTGATGTGGCTCAGTTCTGATAGTTTTAGCCGACAGTTGTGTCCACTGTGGGGATTGTATGGCTCTTTTGTTCTTACCTTCTGTGTTCATTAAGAATTTGTTGGATAACAGAAAGTGCCTATGTGACCTGAGCTAAGCGGAAGTTGGGCCTCTTTTTCGTGGCGACTCAGAGGAGGTCAGCTGCTTCAAGATGAAGCTGAATATTTCCTTCCCAGCCACGGGCTGCCAGAAACTCATTGAAGTAGATGATGAACACAAACTTTGTGCTTTTTATGAGAAGCGTATGGCTGCAGAAGTTGCTGCTGACGCTTTGGGTGAAGAATGGAAGGGTTATGTAGTCCGAATCAGTGGTGGAAACGACAAACAAGGTTTCCCCATGAAGCAGGGCATCTTGACCCACGGCCGTGTCTGCCTGCTACTGAGTAAGGGACATTCCTGTTACAGACCAGGAAAACTGGAGAAAGAAAGCGCAAATCTGTTCGGGGTTGAATTGTGGATGCCAATCTGAGCGTTCTCAACTTGGTTATTGTTAAAAAAAGGAGAGAAGGATATTCCAGGACTGACTGATACTACCGTGCCTCATTGCCTGGGGCCTAAGAGAGCTAGAAGAATCTGAAAACTTTTCAATCTCTCTAAAGAAGATGATGTCCATCAATATGTTGTAAGAAAGCCCTTAAAAAAAAGAAGGTAAGAAACCTGGGACCAAAGCACCCAAGATTCAGCGTCTTGTGACTCCCCGTGTCCTGCAACACAAACGCCGGCATATTGCCCTCAAGAAACAACGTACTAAGAAAAATAAGGAAGAGGCAGCAGAATATGCTAAACTTTTGGCCAAGAGAATGAAGGAGGCTAAAGAAAAACGCCAAGAACAGATTGC